TTCCATCACTTCATTCTCATTCAGTAATGTGTGTACAGCTATTCATTCATCCAACAAGTCACTTTGTTCAAGGCACTTGCCTCTGATACCATTCTCTTCACTGTCCTCAAGATGCCTCTTTTTTTTTTTTTTTTTTTTTTTTTTTTTTTTTTTTTTTTTTTTGAGATAGAGAAACAGTGTGAGCAGGCGCCCCAAGATGCCATTTTATTAAGATACCAGTTGAGCATGTAAAAGAAGCTAACGGTTTCTCACTGGTTTAGATGACCATGAAATGAAGGAGAACAAAAGGTTATAATGCAGCATAATAAATTCATATTTGTGAACATTAGGCTAAAGAAGTGTTTAGGTAGGTTGTTACTTTGCCAGAGGAATGACAATGTAAACAGAAGCTTAAACTGTACTTAGAGAAGTTAAGTGTGATGATACTCAAATACTTAAAATTGGCTCTGCGATTAGTTGTGTGACCTTAAGCAAGTTGCTATCTCTCTCCAAACCTCAGTTTAAAATTTAAAAGATTGAATTTGTCTCTGTCTTGTCCCAAATTTTTAAAACCCTAAACAAAGCCTCCAATATATCCATTTTGCAAATACTTCTTTTTTTAAAATGCTTATTTATTTATTTTTGAGAGAGAGAGTGCATGTGAGTGGAGGAGGGGCAGAGAGAGAAAGAGGGTCTGAAGCTGGCTCTGCACTGACAGCAGAGAGCCCAATGGGGCACTTGAACTCACGAACCACAAGATCGTGACCTGAGCCAAAGTCAGAGGCTTACCTGACTGAGCCACCCAGGCACCCTGCAAATAATTCTTTATACTGACATATTACAAAAGCAAAGGAAAAAGTTGAATAATCTTGTAGATTTATGGGAGACTTTAATATCACCTTAGAATTTTGGAAATTACATGTTTAACTTTGCCATTATAGAAAAAAAGATTTATTTTTCCTACCCTTTGTCAGACCAACACCTTGTCTGTAAGAGACACAGTCAAAAAAAGAGAGAGAGAGAAAAAAAAAAAAAAACTGGAACCTAGAGAAGGAGAAACACTTGTAAATTTAAAATAATAAAATTTCGGAAAAAAATCAAATTTGGGGGATCCCTAGGCAGCTCAGTCGGTTAAGCATCCAGCTTGACTTCAGCTCAAGTCCTGATCTCACAGTCATGAGGTAGAGCCCCATGTTAGGCTCTGCACTGACAGCACAGAGCTTTCTTGGAATTGTCTCTCTCTGCCCCTATCTGACCCCCCCCCAACATAAAAAAAATAATTTTTTTAAGTTTATCACATAAAGCATTTAATTGAATTAATGGAACAGTATGGAGTACTAGATGATTTAGTTAACTGAAGTTTATAGTAATCCTAAACTTTTGAGTATTTCCTAAAACCTAAAAATTACAGTATGTCAGTATATTGTCTTGTCTCAAAGCATGCTGAATATCACCAAACTTTATGAGTAAGGAATATTACTATCAAGTAGTATAAAGTAATATGTAATTATAGGTATAGAAATTTTAAGAATTGTGTTCAATGTGTTTCATATAACCCAAAGTGTATTTGATTATAATTTTTTTCTTGAGGTAGAGCACAAGAGACTCATTCAGATTAAGGATTTAATTTGAAGAATTCCAATTTCCTTTAAGCAAAGTTTCACTTTATTTCAAGCTGAACATTAGTGTATTCATGATTTGATAATACACTTAAAGATGTACACTCTAAAGAATTTGAGTTACAAAACGCTCAGTTATAATCTGTTGGTTGTAAACAAGGCCAGTTACTTGTAGAAATTGGATCAGAAGGAATTGGATTATCACAAATGGCCACTGGTTTTCATCATGGTTATGTTATGTACGTGTGATAGAGTAGGACAGTTTATTCATAATGCAAATTTATTTTGAACGGTGTGAAAATCTGAGTTGGTTGTAATTTGAGGCCTCAAATTCTATAACAAGAGTGAATATCATTTTATGTCATCAAAGATGGTTATTAAAAAACTACTTTAAAATTCTTTCACAATTTGGGATGCCTGGCTGGCTCAGTCAATACAGCATGCAAATGTTGGTCTCAGAGTCATGAGTTCAAACCCCATGTGTGACATACAGTTTACTTAAAAAAAATTTTTTTTAAGTTTTCTTTGCATTTTTCAAGTGAGCTTTAAGGGCCTATTCTATGTCTAGTACTTACTATAGTCCAAAAAGATGGTCACTGTCAGCAAAGAACTTTTAGCCATAATAGAAATATACTAACATACAAGAAACAACTAGAAAATAGTGGAGAGTAAATTTTGCCTTGTGGACTTGAAGTTTAGTAGAAGATCAAAGAAAATGTAGACTTAGACTCACCAAAAAAGACTTCTTAGGGGAGGTGGAAGGTGAGCTGGGCTTAAAGAAGAATAGGTAGAATTAATTCTTGGAAATGAAGATATTGGAGGCTTTCAAGTACAGGAAACATGAATCAAAGTATCAAGTTGGAAGGAGTAAAACAGATACACTAGATTGAAAATAGAGGAATAGGGAAATAAATGTAACCATATTTGAGATTGCTTTGCTTTGCTTAAGGGGCCCTAATTTCTAATAGAAGAAAACAAGGATTTGCATTGGCTGCAACCCTTTTGAGAGCCAAAAAACAGTTGAAGAAAAAAAAAAAAAGGGAAGGAAATCTAGGATTATATCAGACAAGTTTATTACCCTAAATATTAGGGAATCTATGGATTTTAGCTCAGCAAATCAAGTGAGAAATCTTTTTTTAATAATTTGTGTTTTTATGTTTTTATCGGAATTGAATTTTGTATATGAAGTTCTCAACACTGAACCTAACATTGTTTACTTAATAGCATATAACAGTTGCTGTACTTGCTCGGACATGACACTTTTTAAAAAAATGTATTTTGAGAGAGAGTGTGAGCAGGGGAGAGGCAGAGAGAGGGAGACAGAAAATCCCAAGCAGGCTCCACACTGTCAGTGCCAAGCCCAACCAGGCACTCATACTCACAAACTGTGAGATCATGACCTGAGCTGAAACCAAGAGTTGGATGCTTAATTGATTGAGCCACACAGGCACCCCTCAAGTGAGAAATCTTGAGAGGAAAGGGTTGCATAGCCAAAATTCTATCAGGCATATTTTTTGTTCTCCATAACATTGATCTTAACACTATGGGAATGATGGTGAATTAATACCAAAGTAATGTGGTTATGCCAAATAGAAATACTCCTTTTCCAAACCCCTCTCTAATTTGCATCTAAGTCTTAGCTCAAGTTATTTACTCTTAGAATGTCCTTTCCCTCATCTTCACCTGTCTAAATCCTCCTAGGCTATCTACCTCTTGCATTAAATTTTCCCAGTTCATTTTTCCTTCTCACCCAGAAATTCTCTCTTTTGAGCTCATATACATGGCTTAGAACAATTAATATACCCTGCCTTATGGACAGGGATTATCTTACTCTTTATTATATACTCTGCAAGCTTAACAGAGTGGGTGCTTAGCAATTAAATGGTAATTAATTCCTGAAAATCAATAATACCTTTATGGTAAATGTTTTCTGTAAAGGCTGAATACCAGCTAGATAAATACAGAAATGCCTGGGCTCTTTTCTGGTAATTTAAGAATTTTTCCACCTTTTACTTTTATAGGGCTTCTTTGATTCTCTACTCCTATTAACATTCATGTCTCAAGTCTTATTTATCTTAAAATGTCCTTTAAAGAAAACTTTCAGGGGTGCCTGGGTGGCTCAGTTGGTTGGGCGTCCGACTTCAGCCTAGGTTGTGATCTCACGATTCTTGAGTTCAAGCCCCACGTCTGGCTCTTTGCTGATGGCTTGGAACCTGGAACCTGCTTCGGATTCTGTGTCTCCATCTCTCTCTCTGCCTCTCCCCTACTCATGCTCAGTCTCTCTCTCGCTCTCAAAAATAAAATAAGCATTAAAAAAAATTTTTTTTAAGTCAAAACCTGTGGGTAGGTTTGTGAACAGTTAGAAGGCCTGTGAAATTTCAATATCCCTTTGGGAGGTCCATGAGTAATCCAACTGATAATCCTAAGCTTTTCAATGAAGTATAATTTAACTATTTTTTGTCAGCCTTCCATCTGAGGAGATGGAAGATGATAGAATGAAAAGTACTTACGTTAAAAAATACTTTTTAAGAAACACCATTACCGTAATCATAAAGAACAAATGTACTGAGCATTGTTGAAGTTCTTTATACATCTCTAAAGTTAATGGTATGCTACTGGGGCACCTGGGTGGCTCAGTCGGTTAAGTATCTGACTCTTCGTTTCTGCTCAGGTCATAATCTTGCATTTCGTGGGTTTGAGACCCACATCAGGCTCCACGCTGACACTTCGGAGCCTACTTGGGATTCTCTCTCTCTCTCTCTCTCTCTCTCTCTTTCTCTCTGCCCCTTCCCTGCTCCGTCTCAAAATGAATAAATAAGGTTTTTAATAAAGTTAATGGTATGCTTCTGAATCCCTCTGCTTACTGGAGCTACCTTGTTGAATGAAATTGGTTTTCTAACAAATTTTCTTGGACTATTGTATAAGAGACTATGCAAGTCACACCAAAGAAAGTTTTTTTTAAAGTAAGCTCTACACCCATTGTGCAGCTTGAACTGAGACCCCAAGATCAAGAGTCACATGCTCTACCGACTGAGCCAGCCAGGCACCCCAGAGAAAGCTTTTAGAAATCTAAAAAGACAAAATTGTGACACAAATATGTAGCATTTGTTTTCTGCTAGGACATTTAAGTCATAAGGATTTATTTTATGTACCCTTAGAGCTTTTATATAAAATCTATATGACATTTATGTTTGTTTTTCAGAACCTGTATATAAATTACATTTTTTAAAACATCTGTTGTTACTATTGGGTTTGGTTGGCTTTGAGGGTGGTTGACTTGTTATATTTTACATTTAACCAAAAGTCAGGATTTCAACCAGCAATTAAATAATGGTTTATATGGCAAAGCAGTTTCCCCTTTGTAATGATTTTCTTTATGACCTGTTTTCTAGGCATGTATTTTGATAGCACTACTACGTCCCCTCCAAAAGGTGAGAACTGACTCTTCCATCTGTACCTGGATCATGTGGAGAAAGGACTGAGAATGGAAGCAGAAAACAGACATTGTCCATGTAGAGCAGACTGCCTGACAACAGCTCACTCTAATAAAGGGCAATAAATGCCACACGAGATGATCCTCTCATCACAAAACTGTAAGTAATTTTGGGGAATTACAGGGGAATTGGTTGTCTCTGCTGACTCAATAAAAAAAGGTCTTCATTTTGTAATTTGTGGCCTGTATGCTGTAAATTAAGATGCACTGAACTGTTAAACAGTGGACTTTCCTGGCTTGTGGATGAGAATTTAAGGCAAAATAAAATACAGTATTCCCCACAAAGTAAACTTGGGACCTTTGCTCTAAGACCTGAGGCAAAGGTTACATGAATTTGGATAACTGGGTTAAAACTAAGTAATTGGGGCTTGCCTGGAAAACAAGCTTGAGAACTTCAGTCTTTTTTTTTTTTTTTTTTTTTCCAATGTTTATCTTTTGAGAGAGAGAGAGAGAGATGACAGAGCACAAGCTGGGGAGAGGCACAGAGAGAGGGAGACACAGAATCCGCAGCAGGCTCCAGGCTCTGAGCTGCCAGCACAGAGCCCGGCACGGGGCTCAAACTCACCAACCATGAGATCATGACCTGAACTGAAGTCGGATGTTTAACTGACTGAGCCACCCAGGTGCCCTGTAGAACTTTAGTCTTGATATAGCATGGAATAGGCAGGCCATATGGCCTCTTGAAACAAAATAACGGAAGTTGACAAAGTAATAGAATTTTTGGAAATTAAATCTAGCAATACCATAGATAGATAGATAGATAGATAGATAGATAGATAGATAGATAGATAGACAGACAGACAGACAGACAGGGGAGGGGGGAGCGGCGCAGCAGGCTGTATAGAGAAGGATTCTAAGATACAAAGTATGGTGAAAAAGAAACTGGGCATGTGACCATTGTAGTAATCGAGGAATAAAGAAAACCTGAACAAAATAATGTCATTGAGAATGGAGATGAAATAATAAATTGAAGATATTTTTTAAAAAAAATCATAGAACATCATGATGAGTTGGATAAAAAGGGAGTTGTCAAAATTATATATTTTCTGTACTGGAAGGAAACAGTGATATCACTGCAAGAGGATGGTTAAGAGAAGCTAGTGTGAGAAAGATGTTGTATCCTATTTTTGTAATATTGCATTTAAGAAATCTAGGCATTCCATTTGAAATCCTTTAAAGATCACTGAATATACAGAAGGAGAATTCTATGTAAAAGGCTAGAGAGGTAAAAATGTCAGTTATCCTCATAAAGCTGATAAGAATAGACAAGCTAACAAAAACTATTAAGGACAATAGACTTTCTTTTAAAAGCAAATATGTAACATAAATTTATATAAATTAATTAGGTATATAATCTTAAATAAACATTTCCAAATAAAAAACTATTTTCCTCAGAATGTCATGTCTCAAGCTTACACCTGTAAGAAAATCCCTATACTTATATTAGTTGTGACAGTCAATGACTAATATGTGTTAAAATTCTTGAACTTATCTTCGTGTCTATTAATAAAACAAAGACCTTTCCCCATATTAGATTGAGGGAATGAAACTGAGAACTTAAAGTTCCCATGATTCAACCAGTTAAAACTTTATATAAAATTGACATGGCTTTAATTTCTCAAATGGAAAGGCAGGTAAATGAATTGTGGGAAATGTGCTGGTTTCCAGTTTCAAGAAACAGTACAGCACAAAGACCTGGAATTCTGGCTGAAGAGCTGTAATAATAAACAAAAATTTGAAAACCAGGAAGCCAAATCTTCCAAATGTACGACTGTGGCATTTCAAAGGAGATATAACAGGAGATTCCAGAAGATGGTAAAAAATAGGTTTAGATAATTGAGATTCCTTATATGAATACTTGTGTTTGATGGAGAAACACTGTTAAGCAGAAATGAAGGTTCTAAGAAGCTGTGACTTTCTCCTTCTCACCCTAAATTAGGCTTGCTTCTGAAAAAAAAAAGTGTTAGTCCAAAAAATTCAAACGGGGATTCAATAAATTTTAGCCAGGAATTTAAAAAGTGACCAAAGGGGCAGGGCCAGAATTTCATTGAAAGAAATATTTTGGTTTTCTAGGAGCTAAACTTTGTTTTGTAGGATTCCTATTTAGAATGTCCAAGTATCTTGCACTATTTACCTAGTGACTACTTGCTGTGGAAAACTGCCACCTTCATCAGACAGAAATCCCATATCATTCTACACCTTGAATTGATATTTTAATATACTATTCCATTTTAATGATATGTAAGGAAACCTAAAATGTCAATCTGTGCTTCCAAAATAGCATTTAAAACACTCACTAATATGTCTTCTGGATATACCACATCTTTTGGACCATACTCAATCCTTAAACTGTTTGATTAAGCCAAGTTCAGTGAACCTATGACTTCAAATCAGGTTATCCAGAACTGCTAACATTTTTTTCTGTATTTCTGTCCTAGTTACATCTGACTTATATGCCTGGTCTGATAACTTCTATCTTTTTATGACTCCTAAATTGTGGAGGTAAGTCAAGATTTAATATCAGTTATAGTCATGTAAAGTTCATTCTGAATTTGTATTCCCTTAACATTTGTTTAATTACTAAGCATTCTTGTAGCATTGCATTTTTATTAGCAAATTATATACTATATTCCAACTTTGGCTGGGCTATTTTACTCTGATTAAATGTGTAATTTTCTGTAACTTTCAACTAGTTAGTATTCCTATAGACATCTAATATTTTCGTCACACTTGGTATGTGATTACCCAAGTAAACTTCTAATGGAAAAACACCATGGGATTTTTTTTTCTGTAGTCTTTAGCTTAAATCACTTCTTTCAGACTCTGTACATAGAGTATCATCCATCTTTGATCTACTATAATTCTTGTTTTTCCAAGTGCCTATTCACCAAGACTGTAGTGTTCTAAATTTTTCAGTTCAGTTCAGTTGAGACCATTAGACATCCAGTACTGTGGGGGAATATAAAGGTCAGTATTAAACACAATCCCATTCCTCATCTTAAAAGATTTCATGGAAGCTCAGACATTGCAGCCTGACTTTCTTGGGGTATCTTATTACAAGGAGACCAAGACAGATCTCTCCTATTTGGCTTCCAAGTTGGGAACCCAAAGAAATTCAGATGCTTACCAGAGTGAGAAATAATGGAGAGTAACGTGAAATAGAAACACTTGGTTTAGGGTATGTTCTACTCCACTGATAATCGTTTAAAACAATGATTCTGGATTTGAGGTGTTGGTGTGAAATTTGAAGGTGCAGAATGCTGCCTACCTAGAAGTTTGTATAATTAGACATGTCTTAAGCACATTTTAGTTTGGGAAGCAGAGTCCTATTTATTTTGCTGAATGTTTGTTGCTCTTTTATTCTGTGCCATGTAAGGTGTTAACTTTTTATCCTTTAAAAGATTTTTGTAGCTGGATCTCATAGTTTAGATAAATATTAAGGCATTTTATTTTCTAAGCTTAATAATTATGATATAATGAATTTTTTGTGAAATTTTTACATAAATTTTCATCTCTAATAGGTCTGATAGGCCTTATAATTCTTTTCTTTTTTAAGTTTATTTATTTATTTTGAGACAGAGAGAGAGAGCACAAGCATGAGCCTGGGAGGGGCAGAGAGAAAGGGAGAGAGAGAATCCCAAGCAGGCTCTGGGCTGATGTGGGGCTCAAACTCAACAAACCGTGAGATCATGACCTGGGCCGAAATCAAGAATTGGACGCTTAAACCAACTGAGCCACCCAGGCGCCTGGAAGGCCTAATAATTCTTGAAGTGCAGTTCTGTGGCAAAGCTGGTAAGTAATGATGGCTTTTACTAGGTCATTGGTATTCCAGAAATCTAAGTATTTTAGTAATATGTTTTCACATTAACTCTTTATTTCTTGAACTTTGTTTGAAATACTAAGTTTGATGTCACATTGTTCTCTTCCATGAGTTCTTTGGCTCTCTCAAAGTAACAAAATGTCCTAAATTTATTTTTAAAAATTTCCTCATAGTGGCTCGTCTGCATTGCTAAACTTACTGTTAACAGAGTCAACTTTCCCTGCACAGAGGAAAAATAACTGTAGAATATGGGAGATTTGGAGTGCTCTAATAAATATTTTGTCATCCCAGCAAGGTTTCTGGTGATGTGACTATTTCTATTATTTGTGATAGAGAACCAGTACAAAAACTTATAAAGCAAAACTGAACTTTGTCAGATGTAAACAATATATAAGACAAATTAGAAATAGCTTATGATTCCCTAAACCATATATTATTTCTCTAGCTCCTTTCCCATGACCATTTTATGTTATTTGGGGCTCCTGATTTCAGATATATTTTCAAAGCAGCCCAAATTAATTCCAATGTTACCATACCTAAGAACTCTTTATAGTTATGACTTGTATATTAAATTCAAGAGTAAAATTCAACATTTTACTCTTCAGAAAATTTTTTTAGGGACAACTTCCAATCACTTATAAGGCAAATTACTGAGTTTCAAGAATAAGCTCTTTAGTGCCTTGTCAGAAATAAAACTGTGGGTGGAAAGATAAAACACACATAACAGAATCGGGAGAACAGGGAAGGCCCAACTACTGATGGTACTGGTCATTAAGAATGACAGACCTTGGGCCACCTGGATGGCTCAGTTGATTAAGCATTCAACTTCAGCTCAAGTCACGATCTCCCCGTTTGTGAGTTCAAGCCCTGCGTTCGAGCCCCCAGAGCCTATTCGATTTCTGTGTGTCCCTCTCTCTGCCCCTCCCCACCTTCTCAAAAATAAACAATAAACATTAAAAAAAAAAGAATGACAGACCTTAATGTGTCATTGTGATGATTCATCTTTGTATATATGAGATGGATTGATAGGTGTATATGATTTAATAGAACAAGGTTTTCAGCATGGTTGGCCAAGACCAGCTTCTGCCATTATTTTCTTATAATTTAAAATGGCCTGGGTGGCTCAGTTGGTTGAGCAGCTGACTTTGGCTCAGGTCATGATCTTAACGGTGTGTGAGCTCAAGCCCTGCATCAGGCTCTCTGCTGTCAACGCAGAGCCTGCTTCAGATCCTCTGTCCCCTTCTCTCTCTGCCCCTCCCCCGCTCGTGCTCTCTCAAAATAAGTAAACATTAAAAAATTTTTTAAATAAAACTGACAAATTCATCCAGTCCAGAAGTTAAGAGTTAAGTGGTGTACCCATATGAAAATGTTAAAGCTTTTTTTTTTTCTAAAGCAGGCAAGAGTTTTTAATTTGCATTGCATCTGATATATCCCTGTTTTCTTCAAACTACAGTTGCCTTGTCCCCCTTTCTGAAACAAGACTCAATGTTTTGCATGTCTTGATATCCCAGTGATAGTGTCCCACTCTATTTTAGAGTGAATACGAGAGGCTTACTGAGATGATCTTGACAGATGTGTCTCCAGATGAGATAATCTCTAAAGTATTTACTAAAATAAGAAACTCAGTCTACTCTGAAACTACACTTTCCTTAATAATATATATATTTTTAATTGTGGTAATCTTTCTCCTTCCACAAACCTCTGCATTGTGAACTCATAACTTTTGAGAAACTAATAAAAAGCTTGTCTTTCTAATTAAACCATTTGTCAATATTATGAATTGTTTTTGTAAAAAGTTCTAGGAGGGAAGGCATTATTTCTCTGCAGTATCTCCAATGTCTAAAATAGTATTTGGCACACAGTAGATGTCACTAAAGATTTATTGAATGAAGGAATGAAAGAACGAATGTCATATATATCTCCATAGGTAACATGTTTCTATTAGCACATTTTATTTCTCAACTCAAAGTAGTTTCCTGCAAATATGAATGACTAAGAACATATTAAACAGTAGTTTTAACATTTCCTGTCTTACTATTTGCCAACCTGTTAGAATATTTTTTGTTTTAATGTTTTTAACCAGTATCAGTTTTTAATAATCTTATCAGTAAAGCAGTGTTGAACAGTGTTGCATATATAACCATGTCAACTATAGCCAACAAGTTAAATCACATAAATGTCAAAAACTTAGTGTGTCCTAGAATATGATACTAGCAAGGGAAGCAAACACATCATCCCGAAAATTAACTTGACATGCTAAAACAACTAAATTGGCTTTTCTGCAGAAAAGAGGGGATAACTGCCACCAAAAACAAAACACTTATTCATAGGGCTTTTTCTCTTATTTGGGTCATTACTTTCAAATACTAACCTTGACATTACTAATCTTGAAGTATTTTGCACTTCTACATTATACATAACCTTTGAAGTACTGTTAGAAAATTTTAAAAATATGTATTTCTTCCCTACAACCTAGTACACAAATTTGTAATTACTAGAAGTTTCTGGATGCCAACTCTTTACTAAGTGGAGGGCCTTCACAGGAAAGGTGGTAAAGTAACATTTGTATCAGTATAAGATAATAAGCCATACTTTGCCATAATAGTCCCCCTAACACTCATCTAACACCCATATCTCTGTTGAAAATTCCATGCATGGGGGCACCTGGGTGGCTCGGTCGGTTAAGCGTCTGACTTCGGCTCAGGTCATGATCTCACAGTCCGTGAGTTCGAGCCCCGCATCGGGCTCTGTGCTGACAGCTCAGAGCCTGGAGGCTGTTTCGGATTCTG